AAGCACTGAAATCATTAAAATAATTCAGAAAATGAATGACGAAATACAGTGCCATAATCTTTGAGAATAAATGAAACCTACGTGACGCGCACTTACTGGCTGGCTTATAAGTACCGTTGATAATGGCCAATTCCATCAACTGTTTACGCTTTAAATCATCGGTATCTTGGGGCTGTAAATGATAGATGTATAATTCGGTCAGCTTTTATGTAATTAACAAAAAATATTCGATTGAGTCAAACTCATTGAACAATTATTCATGAATTATGTGGAAACAGTACGATTCAATGAACCGAAATGTGTGATCAAGATCAGTGATTTAAAAGTGTACCGATGGAATGAGAAGTTTCTTGATTTGTTCAACGCCCGTCTTCAACTTCAAATAAACGCGATTCGGAGTATCCTCGCATTGGACGACAACGTGCAAATCTTCATTTAGATGCTCCCAGTTTGGTTTGCCCCGATTTTGTTCCTCCTTAAAATATTCGTTTGCATTCAGTTAGGTAAACATTTTCCAACATCAGTGAGGTTATATCCTAAAGTGAATCGCTCGCACAGAAACTAAGCAATACAAATTCAAATGTTGTGATTTTCGAGTGATTAAAGATGTATGGATCCAGCATGGTATGAAGCGTGTTTCAATAAATGACCTTATGGCTATCGCGCATCGATCCACGCCCTCTCACCATTATCCTGCACCCAGTTTCTTGCTCGAGTTGTTTGGCTGTTATTCCGCGGGGTCCGAGAATGCGTCCCACGAAGTTGTACTGCAACCATGTTCGTTATTTCAATGAAGTTTAATTTCTGATGACGTTTAATGGGTTGGTGACATCTCTCATCTTTGATGAATCTAAATATCATCACACGAATAAAGCGAACTGACATCAGGATGTTCCTTGGATGGAATGTAAACTTTCTCTTGAGCAGTGATTGGCACCCCTTCGGGCGCTGGTAGATTTTCTTTCTGAATCGGAAAATTCCACTGAAACAATGTCATACGCACACGAGCAATCTCTGAAAATGACTTACTTTAAAAACGCAATGATTTCAGCTGTTGTTGATTCTGTTATGTTTGCAATACTGAGATTAAGCTGTGGTCAGTAACAGTCAATAACACATCGCTTTATAGTGAATGAATCATTACCATCATCGATAAGACGCTCAATATTTGGGAAGAGGTGTGGGAATACTTCCAATTGACGTTTCTCACGAACCAACCCAGCCAAATATTCGATTGTGCATTCTGCAGATGCCGTATCTTCTGCACTTGGTGAACCTAAAACTGATACTTGAATATTTCTGCATCGCATTCGAGTTAGGAACAATATGAGAGCCACTTTGAAATTGGTTACTTCCGTTCAGATTTAAAAATGTTATTGTGTGTGACACTTAAGGTGGCTCGTTTGTTGCATTTGGCGAGAAAATGATTGGTATGATTGGTACAGAGATGCATTCAGGTATTTCTTGGAAAATCAGGAATTTTCATGTGTCGGTAACCAAATCTGAGGTTCAATGGACAATTTGAAAATGAACAAGAAGTACCCTTCTCTGAGTGTGGTGAATGTGGCGATTGTTCAGTGCGTTTTTCGCTGGCCGAAAGATATTTTGCCTGAAATATCAGAAAGATATTCTGACTACTTGTTCAAGAGCAAATAATGGAAAGTAAATAGAACTGAATTGCAACAGAATTCGAAATTAAGAGGATGATAACGCATTAAATTAGGCGGATTTGAATCCATCAACATACTTCAATATCCATGAGAAGCTTGACGAATTGCTGATCTTGATTTTGCTTCTTTGCGAAATCGGACGATGAAATTTCCATTATCGAAGGAAAACACAAATTTTGATTCAATCTAAAATTCACTGATCACTCTCATTTAAAGAGCTATAAAAGAGGGAAAGTATTTTTCTAAATTTATTTCATCCAAAGAATTTGAATATCCTCTCTTCGCAACAATCAATCAATTTCTGCAAGAGCATATTTGCTTGATTTGGAAGTATTAGATGACATTTGTTAGAAGTTCCCTTTCACTAGATAGATCAGTCAAAAACATTCGTTCCCACTGAAAATCCTTCGAAATGAACGAACGTTGATTGGCAGTGGATTGATTCGTTAAATACAATAATATTTGAA